CGTGAGCGCGATTCTGAAAGCCCTAGACCTAAAGAAACCAATGTTCGAGGATAAATATTTCACTCCATCGCTCAGCGTATATATATATATATATATATGTATATATATATATTGCAGACCAAACTGTTAACCTGATAGCCGAACAAACGCAGGTACCTTTTCCAGCACCCATTAGAGTGGCCTGAAATGTATTGTTACGTTTAACAAGGTCGCTTAGATGTTAGGCGTTCATAAACCTTTCCCAGTATAGAAAACCTTCTGTAGTAGCGGTGAACACACTGACTAAAACTGACATTGATTGTTTAGGGTACACTACCTGGCGGTGCTCCCACTGAATTAAGGATAATTAAGTGCTGATCACATTCTGCCCTTGTTGACTGTCGGACGACATTGCCCCATAAACTGCACATCAAGCGCCGTTCTGAACACCTATGCTGACTGGCATATCAGTGAGGAAGTGCGTAGCCTACTCGTTTTTGCATATGATTTCTTCTTATAAGATGCGGCTTATGAATATTTTTTCCCTCCATTCACCCACAGTACTTTTCGTTTGGAATAACTCAGCGCACACTACATCATCATGCGGGGTCTGACAGATCTCCTTACCCGATGCAACAGACTGCCAATATTGAACACTTTTAGGACGGCATCCACGCCATCATTCCATAATTTTGACTGCGTAATTATCGGTGGTGGGATTGTTGGACTTGCTACTGCCAGAGAACTCATAATACGGTATCCGAAATGGAAAATGGCTGTACTTGAGAAAGAGAAGGAGCTCAGTCTACATCAGTCGAAAAACAACAGTGGAGTTATACACGCTGGGATTTATTATGTACCCGGATCGCTCAAGGCCAAACTGTGCGTAGAGGGCATGAAGCGATCTTACGCTTATGTCGAAAAGAAAGGGATTCCATACAAGAAATCAGGAAAGTTGATTGTTGCGACAGAAAATTATGAGATCAGCGAGTTGCGAAAATTGTTTGAGCGTGCTACAATCAACAATGTCCCAGGTGCAAAACTGATAAACGGGAGTCAGATTAGTGAGTTGGAACCGAATTGCGTTGGACTAGAGGCAATATATTCCCCTGAAACCGGCATTGTTGACTGGAGAACGGTGGCTTTGTCATTTGCAAAAGATTTTGAAAACCTTGGGGGTATCATTATGACAAAATTTGAGGTGACCCATTTTGATGAAGCACATCAAAATACAGATTACCCATTGCGGATTCGTCCATCTGATACATCACGGTGTGATTTACCCTCCGTCCAGACAAAATATGCTATCTGCTGTGGTGGACTACAGTCTGACCGTCTGGCAGAAAGAACAGGCTGTTCACCGTCCCCGAAAATCATTCCATTCAGAGGAGACTACCTCAGGCTTCGAGATGAAATGTCTGATCTTGTTAAAACGAATATTTATCCTGTTCCAAATCCCAGGTTTCCCTTCCTCGGTGTACACTTCACACCACGCATTGATGGCACTGTTTGGTTGGGTCCGAACGCTATTCTATCACTCGACAGGGAAGGATACGGCTTCTGTGATTTTAATGCAAAGGATGCCCTTGATTCTTTAACGTACTCTGGATTCTGGAAGCTCGCAACGAAGTACATAACCTTCGGTGCAAATGAAATAATTGACAATATATTTATTAAACGACAAGTTCGCAAACTTCAGCGTTTTGTGCCAAAGCTCAAAGTTACTGACGTTATTCGTGGACCTTCCGGAATAAGAGCTCAAGCCTTGAATCCAGATGGTATGTTGGTGGACGATTTTGTGATACAGCGCGGTGAAACAGGAATTAGTAGACGAGTTATGCATGTGCGCAACGCTCCTTCACCAGCAGCTACCTCTTCGTTGGCCATTGCTCGAAGCTTGGCCGATGAGGCAAGGGAGCTTTTTGAATTTCCAGAGCCAGCGCAAAGAGACTCTGTATGAATCGTCATCCTCCCAGTGGAGATAATATGCATATCCTGAAGAGCTGCCGAATCACGATTTACAAAACACTCTCACCGAGAAAACCTGATATTTGCATTACGGCAACTAGTTTGATTTTGTTCGCTAAACTTACGTACTCCACGCACATGCACCCACGAATTTTGAAAGATCAACAGAGGATCTATTTAGTTTGTTTTTCACATTCTACAAGTGGTAGTTTTTTCACATACTGTATTAGATAACTCTCTCGGCACTTGTGCAATTTTGATCGGTCAGAGGGGGGAGAGGTATCAGCTTGTAAGCGCTAAAGTCCCGAATTTCATTGGATTTTTCTTGTCCTTTGTGACGTTAACCTTACGGTTACTTACTACCAGAACGTGTCCGTTTCACGACGTCATCAAGAGGTTTTCACTTTGCTCTCAGAATTGCGAAGTTTTGTTTCCCAAAAAGGTCATCGTGCCCATTTCAAATAACACTCACAGTGCCATAATTCTTGATGCAGGTTTGAAATCAACTGTTGCTAGTAGATCATCCTGTCACCGAAAACTGCTCATAACCCTAATCACTTGTGATACACTGGTACCCTGCTTTATACCCTAGACAACAATATTGCACAAATGTTCCAAGGAATATTTAGTCGTCCAGGTATCGAGTACACCACCTCCCGTGAACCAAAGAGAACGGGAGTAATAGAAATTTGCCAACCGGTGGGGAAATTCAGATAGCCACCGGTGTATGTGCAATTACCAAACGAATAGCAAAGATTGGATTTGGGTGTCCAAGACGAACAGTTGCTCCGAATAGCAGCAGTTTATTCGTTACTCCACCTAGTGTTTTCACTCTTCATAAGGTCACCTAGCAAGATATGGAACAACATCCGGCTAGATCCTAATTCTACTCCCTTGGCTCTTCGATCCCTATTCTAGTTGCTTGTGCATCGCTTACTAGTTTTAATGAAAGCTAACTTGTATGCTGGTAGTAGTAAGGTTTGCACTAACTGCTAAACACCTAAATTCTAGTGATAAGTAGAACGAGGGGTGGGAACCTGACACAAAAAAGTTCGTTATTTGGGAAAGGGGAAAACATATATCGTTCGCACACTTCAGCAGGGTAGCAGTAAGATGTTATCAAAACAATTGGCCCAAGCTCCTTTGCGACTGACAGTCAACACAAAACCAACAGCGAATTTAAGTAGGCTGTCCGAATAGGATGTGATATTACTGGCCACTGGACTCGACTGCGTGACATTTTGAGTGTGGGTTCCATCCATCCATTCACCTTTTCTATGAGTCACTGTTAGGAAGGCGTGAAGATCTCACTGCACTTGGTTCGACTGAAGGGAGTATCGTTTCGCGTTGCTAATGAGTAACCCATCCCCCACCGATTTATTACCAGCAAAAGGTTGGGCTGGCAAACAACACTTTAGTTGACAGTTATAGTTTGGGAGTACTCAGTTGATTGTTTTGACTCCAAACACGACAGCAGCCATCTTAGGACAGTACATGTTAGTTGGCTAGTGACAGGGGATCTGTTTACTGAGATTAGAAATTTGCCTGCAACCCAGTTGCAGTTATGGCTTGCTGGTTTTACCGAAATCAGTTAGAAAATGTAACTATCGCCATTTATGGGCATGTTTTTTTGCGTAGTGACACAACGATGATGAACTGATATTCATACAAGATCACCTGGGTTGGTTAGTTCACATATTTCCAGAGATTTGTCCAACGAAGGCAATGTAATGTGCTGTGTATCTTCTCGGATAAATGACGTTTACATCCCGAAAACCTTAGTGACAGTTCTTGGGGAAAACGGTCACCCAGGGTAATTTGTTTGGAAACATTTACTTGAGGAAAACTGTGTTGTCCGAAATCATGGATTTAAGGAGTAGGTATATCCGTCCTAATCAAACGAACGAGAGTTCTCGTTTTAGTAATTAGAAGACTCTGCTCATCACGAACAAGAAGATCCTGGTTACCAAATTGGGTGCACCGTCAATCCATTCCTTTCATTGTTCAAACCACGAAAACTGGAGCGTTTTTTTCAGTTAGCCTCATCAGTCTTATTTTGCTTTACCAACATCTCTGTTGCAAGGTATTTAAGATGTGTAGCTAAACGTTTGTTCAAACAGATTTCTGAACACATCCCAGCGAATATACATAAAAGAACTGGAAAAATGGTCAATATCTGAGCATGCTGTTCAAATCACGTGTTATGCGGGCTGCTTGGACACCTTTGTCACTAACTGACAGAAAGTTATGAAATGCCAACAAACGATAAGTGGGGAAAGACCCCATAGTTTCCTCTTCACTATGCACCCACTGGATTCTGTGTGACGGAGTGGCGCTACCTACTATGTTGAGTTTTTGTCCAAAAAGTTTTTTTTTACTTAATCGGATCCGGAAATGCTGAATGGGTAATATGCGCAGTTTGTCGAGGCAAGTCCAGTCATTGGTCATTTATCGACTGTTCTGTGACTTGACCTCACTTACGCATTCATGCACCGAACACAAATAGACGTTGGTTAGACTAACCATATTGGAACGGACTCGTCTAATTCAGTGATACATAAGGATCAGAACTTATCTATGACCAGTTCTATCGTTTCAAACTACATGATGTCCACGGACTTTTAGCTCACTGTGCCTGAATGGTCTGCAACCTGATATAGCTATCCGTTACGAGGGACTCACCCAGTGGAGAACAATGCGAGAATTGGTGATGGGCTTTGAGATTACACGGTAGTTCAGTGAAGGAAATATATCCAACAAAAAAACATGGATCGTTCCAAATCTCTTCAAGAAATCTTCCGGCGTGGTAAAACGTTTTATCAGCATATTCTTCTTCTTGACTGATGGACTAGTTATGGATGCCTTCAAAAAATACAGGGATGAATTTCAGCTAGATGGCCTGCAGTATTCCAGTGAGTTTTATGATGACCCTTTGTAGAATAACCACCGTTCAAGACATCACTAAATAGGGTCCGATAATTAAACTGACAAAAATATATGGCATTTTTTGGATCTTTTACACCCTTCTACTGTCGACAGACTCTGGAGAAAAGGCAGCTTACTTGCTTCTCATTTCGTAAAGGGTCTCGTTTCTGGTATTTGAAGCACTGAATATGAAGTTGCAATAGATAACAAGCATCCTTCGAGGACGAAAAATATAGATGAACAATGTGATTAATTGAAAAGCACCAGCCGTTCGTCAATACCTACCGAGAAACTTCGGGTGATAAAGGTCTGGCAGTTTACCGTAAAACAGTGAAGATCGTTGCGGATATGCGCATGCGAAATTGCATACACTTCAATTATTTTTTTAGTGTTCAATATCCGTTCCTTATCGAAATACCACAAAATAATTTTCGTCACCTAATGCCTCACCATATGGAAGACTAATAAAAGTGAACAGCTCTGACGTTTATGTATGCTGTTTACCATGGTATCATCACTTAGACAGCCTCTGGCTATGGCTACGAAAAGCCATTGGCATACATGTGTAAGCTATACGGAGGCTTGAAAACATTCAGTTAATAAGCTCTCTAAGTACTCGTTGCGTTGCGCGCGTTTTATCTATTGACCTCTCACAGAAACACGAAGTGATCCGGTTCTTTTGAACTGTTCAGTAGGTAACTCCACAGGGTCTGACGCTTTGCACAACTCGCATGCTGAAAACAATTGAGCGGGATGTTTGACAGCACAACGCAGTAACGAAAATTGAAATTGGCCATCATTCACCTCTGGTCACTGCATTTCGACTGGAATGTTCTTATCAGCGACTGAACATATGTGAGCTGTTCATATCATCAATGTAACTTGGGTGAAGTTACAGAGCATGGGATTATTACACATACTGTTGCCAGAAGTTGTAGCCACCTCGAAAACTTCAAAGCGAACTAAATTCATTGTGTTTACAAACTCACAGTGGCCAACTGTGAATTCGCAGCATCAGCATAGGTGTCTTATTGATGGACATGAAAAAAGAAGGCTGGGAACTCCATTGCAAGGTGTTTTGAAAATAATTAGTCAGTCATCTAGCTGCACTGGCTTGCCGAATTTAAGTGCACTCAAGTTGCCAGTTTCGTGACCGTCTTGAACTGAACGCTCAGTAATGGAATTCTCAACGGTTTGGCGATACCTTTGTCCAGAATTCCGTATGCATCACCACCTATTCCAAGTACAGCGCTCCAAGGCGCAGATGATTTAAGTCGAAATACCGCTGTCTATCCGATAGTGAAACGTCACACATCAGGTTTGGTCGAGCATAATCAGTTTGCCTGTATGCAGAAGCATCCGAAATTAAGGGTTATTTATCATTTGGATGCAGAGAATAACTTTTTGTACTAGGCCTTTAGATGTGAGGTTTTCTTGGAGGGAGGGTTTGCAGTAACCACTTGATTTGACGATTGCCTTGACCAGCTTTCATTCAATCGTTGACTAATCAGGACTGAAAATTTCAACAGCCAGTTTGACTTTATGTCAGATGGGGACAAAACGAGCTTACAGAGTAATGGGGGCGAGATGGCCCAAGTGGTTAGAGCGCGAATTTACTGACCGGAAGGTTCGTGGTTCGAATCCGACCTCCGCCACTCGACTTCCCCTGTCTAGGCTTGGGCAACCTGGCAGTATCCTAGCCCTCGTGCTTCCTTCGGGTGGCATGGCAGTTAGGCACCGGAAGGGTGCTACAGCTGAACGCTTTCTTTTTTCTTTCTTACAGAGCAATGTATGGTTCCTGCAATTGTTCTTGGTCTAAATGTTCACGGGTCTTAATGAAAATGTATAATAATGTGGGTTTAATGCTGTATACAGAAGTTGACCTACAGAGATGAAATAGTCAAAAGATTGTCCAATCCGTCATTGTCAAATGTGACGGTGCGACTGGAGTGGTTGATCCATTCCCTCTGGTCCCGTTTTCCTATAGGCCAATGCGTGTAACCCAGAGCACTGGTGACTGATGCATGCTTCCAAATAAATTCACGGTATTTTAGTCCGATGATAACCACATGATGCAAACTTTGTTTACCGTGCTTTGTGGCCCGATTACTTCTAAGGGAGTCTTCAGTGTGAATTTTCAAACTGGCTGACGAAAGTGGTGAAAGGAAGAAGGCCTTCGCTGCGGAGTTATTTATTAGAAAATGCCAGACTATTGGACAGGAAAGCAAAACTCTCATATGCATCTTAATTACAAAAACTGAACACCCATGTTCTCTTGAACGCATCCTCCTGAACTTTCCTAGATATTCATTGAGTGTTGCTCAAGTCCAAGCAAATGCTACGAAGCAACTCCACAAATCCGCAATAGATATTTCTTTTCAAGCGAATTGATAAGAAGTCACACTACTCGCATGCCTTACCATCAGTAGTATCACCGTTACAGTGATAATACAGTTCAGTCTTCTGTTGAGCGTCTCAGTCAATGTGCCGTAACATTACTGGCAAGGACGGTAAATATGGGTATACGGAACTGAATAACTCATCAGATGGTTGTTTGGCGTACAGCTTACTAGGGTATTGTTATTCATATAGTTGAAATATCGGATGTGGAACTGAATAACACAGGACTTGACGTTTGGCAAGGAGAATTTCCGTCCAAACGTGAGCACACTTTTATACTGTCTAAGAGAATACGTTTAGTTGTTACTTTTTGTTGCACCTGTGTTGAGACCTAGATGGCATTATGCTTCAGAAGCTTCACTTCATTCACGTACTGTTCGAGGACAATGTTCAAACTATTTATCCAAGTTTTCCTACTAAAAACCTGGAAAACCTAATGAATATTTCCACTTCTGCTCGTGACTTTTATGTCTCCTTTGGGGGGACAGAGTGGACCAGGGAATAAGTTCGCCAAAGCCTGGGATGTGACGGCACAGATTTGTAACCAAAGGAGAGTTTTTTATTGTAGCCTGGTCTCCACCGTAGAATTCTGTCACAGAGTGCTGTTGGTGATCACTATGCAGTACGTGCTGAAGAACTGTCCTAAAGAAAATCGGCATTGCAGTTATCTTCTACTCTAATCTAGTTTCTCAGTGAACTTCAGGATAACCAACCACCTCGGTTACTTACCTTTCTTAGCTGACCTTCGGAAGAGTCCTTACGATGGACTAATCGTATTGCGATTTTGCCCTTGTGTAATCTGTGCACCTGTTCGAACAGACCATATCAAAATGCGACCGAAGGGCAAGTTATGGGAGACATTCACCTAAAGCATGCAAGAGCTCTCTGGTAATCAGGGAACTTAGTCTTCATTTTGGCTTGACGGACCGGGCTTACAGTCGCATGGATTAGGTATATATCCTTTTATCGCGGATCGGATATTTTTACACTCAAGTCGTGTCAGAGCGTCCAGCACTTAAGCGGTCGACTCATTGAGGCGTAATGCTGTAAAATTTTATCGATCTGCTAACCAGTACCCTGTTGTGCTCGACAGGTTGGCAACAGATGAAGATTCACAATCTCGAACACTTGACCTCTATCATCGCACGAGACTCCTCAGGAATACTCAGGGATACACTGTCAATCCATACCAAAACAACCGTCACACAATTCAGGTGTGAAGCTTGAAAACAGGTTGTTTAAATCATTGTTCTTTTGATATGACTTTTTCGTGCCCAGTAAACCAGATCAACCTTAATTAGAATCCGTTTGAAGACCCAGTTAACCAAGCTAACAAGCTTGTTGTAGCGTCCAGCGACATTATATCTAATCGAAACAGATTTGATCCAGACCTGTTTTAACTACAAACAAAGCACCAGATTCTATAAGCATCCGTTAAAACCAAGCACATTTAAGATTTAAGAAACCTCCATAAGTATATCATCTTTATTTGACCGAACAAAATGTCAAACAAAACAAGCTATATTAAATAATACCTGACTTACGGACTGATGAAACTGAATTTACTCGTACAAAAGAGAAGAGTGCAACCACAACCCTGAAGGCAATAATGAAGCGAAGTTATATCAAGAAATCAACGGGTACGAACGTCCCTCGTCTGTGCGGCCTCCGCAGAATTCATAAACTTGGTTGCAAACAGCGACGTATATTTGACGTGAACAACTCTACCTTACACTCACCAATTGAAAAACGACTCGGTCACTCGGCATTCAACTTCACCGACAACCACTTAGGACCAGAAAATGTTTCCTCTTGATATCCTTTCTTTCTACCAGTGCTCTTCCAACCGACAGCTGGTTACAACTGCATCTTTATAAAACTATCCGGCTTTATCTCATCCACTCCTATAATCAAGCCCAAAGAATTGCTTTTACGCTGAATGTTCACCATGCAGTCTTTAATCAACGGAACCGTGTAAAGAAGGAGAGGTGAAGCGGCAATGAGTTTTCCACTGGGACTGATTTTAGGCGGTATGTGACTCTGAAAGTCAATTAACCCCAGTGGATGCATATGTCCTTCCATAAACGATGTGGGGCTATGTCTACCACTCGTTATCTCCACACTGCAACCAGGGAGCTACATCGAGATTTTAGTTAGGTAAATATGACGCTGAGCTTTGCCGCGAAAGTGAAGACTGAGGGTTTTCCCTTTTTGGATGGGTAGGCTTCAGAGATGAGTATACCAGAAGGCCACTTCGTTTGACTGGTGTGTACGCTGCTGGATATGTGGTTGGCTAATTTGCCACTGAACGCGCGTTCTGCCAACTATCGGAAAATCAATGAAAATAGAGCGACGTGGATGAACAGGTGACAAAACTTGACCCAGCAAGCACCGTGTGAGCAAAATAGCATGAGCATGACCACCTATTAACTGCCGATAGTTGCCATCAAAAGTGAACACACAAGCTGTCCAGACGAAAAGTGCTCTTAGTCAACCCATGAAACGGCTAATGCAAAAACTTCCACAGTTTCACTGATATGAAAGGACAAAGAAACATGACCAAGTGTTCGACTCGAAAAATCTGTATTCACGACGCCAGATACATGATTGTGCCTTATTTCAAAAGCACTAATGGAAAATCGTGGTGCGACAAGAGGCGACTGAACAATGATGCGAAATCATGCAACCACTAAGCAGAAAAGAATTCTGCACATATTTGATGGAACGCCTGAAACGGTTACACGTCAGCTGACCACTTAATACCTCACAACTAAGAGCATGAATGCCCAACACTGACTTGAAGAACAGTGCGTCCGTCCACGACTCATCCATATGTATGCCTTTGTTCCGTATACTATGTGGAGCATGCGACACGGTATCCGCTCCTGTGAACTGCTGAGGGCATGCCATCTCGGAAGCATTCTGATAAACGAAACCACGTGGCTGGTGAGGTCCATACTAGACACCAGATAATCCAGCTGTATGACACATTAGACGGCCACCAAATCGCTCATGGACCGTTCGACAAAGTGCACTCAAAACGGCCAAAGTAATTGCAATTTGCCTACGAGAACTGATTCTTTATCCACAGAAGTGCATATGCAACTGGTGTCCTGCCAGCGATCAGCAACTTCCAGGTCAAAGGAACGCTAATACTGAGCTACGAGTGATCCTCTTGTTTGTAGAACCATTGCATTGATTGATGTTATTGACCAAGTTTTTGCATTTCGCTCTTTCGTCACACCCCTATACTATTTAGGTCTATTTGTCTATCGAGAGCGTGTTAAAAAAACTCATTTGCCTTGCGAAGTGCTCTTCGTACTTCCATTTCCATACATTGTAAATGTTTTTTTTGAGACAAAAAAATCATCCTTATCTGTACTTTTTCATGTACCTTATCCAGTACGTCCGATTAAGGCGGAATGCATATTGAAGTCTCAGCCCTGCAGCCAAACATGTGTGGTCAACAGGACGCCTGTGTTTTGCTTCGGGTTTGTTGGTAGCACTAAGCAAGTTGAGGTCAAATTACAATAACATTATGGTTGTTTATACGGTGAAGCACATTTGAATCTGACCTCTCGAGTGCATACATGCAACGGTCTATACGCCTCGGGCTTCATATTCCAATGAACATAAACATATATGTTGACAAACTTGTTTTAGAAAGCATGATAGTATATCAGCTGAAACATGACGAAGTGGTTATCCTTACTTGAGCACCTTCGCCACATTGACCAGTAAGAGAGAAGCACGGACGGTTCAAGGGTTCCGACGAGCTTGTCTACACCTCAAGCCTGAAAATGCACTGATCGGTGAGGCGAGCGTAAGTTATCCCTCGAGGTACTAGGATCAGGGTGACATGTAGCAAACTCCGGTTTTCACCAGAAGAGACACTGAATATGTAACCACGTGAAGTAAACCACGCGGTTGCAAAACGGGGGAAGAGAGAGAGGTGCTCTATCTCCTCTAAGAACCAGTTAATTCCTCTGTTGATCAGTCACCCGTGGTCAACGGCATAGTCTTCACCTATTAGGCACGAGATTAGTAGTTTGGATTCCTCCAGAAATTCATGAGATGCGCAATACTGATTTCAAACGAGAATAAAACAGTTGCTTGTCGGCCTTTCAGCGTACACTAAATTCACTTGCAGGATGGGTACTATTAAGACGTATATGTCACTAGAAAAGAGAATATTCTGTGACAGTACGATTCAAAGACCAGAGATGATAACTCGACGATCACTGACCATCCGTGCTTCAGACGCAGTGGTTACATGTGGCGTCAACACAGCTGTAAAACGGTTGGATGTTTTCCATTCACGATGGACAATCAGTTTGGAGTTCATTAATCGAGGACGAGGTAGGATACTATGACTACGGAGAACGGGTAACAGATCACTTGAGCATCGATTACTTCGATCACCTTTCGATGCACTCGACTCTTAACAGAGACGGTTGAATCAGGACAGATTACGATCTGCATGTAGCTTACACCCTTGCAAACTAGTCTCCATACAGACTCCCAGCATCGTCTGACGCTATACAGCAGCGAGCCCAATGGAGTTCTTGCACTGAAATAGCATGAATGTATTACTTATCTACTACGATCTGATTCCACCATGAATAAACTATACGAAGTCAAAGTTCCCTCATGGCGGAATCTCCGTACCAGTAGTACCGGCTTAAGTCTGCAAGTACAGAACGGAACTAGAAAAGAAACCATGGACAAGAGCAACGTCAGCTCAAAGACCGATAAACAAGCAACAAGACAAGAACGTTTTCGAAAAAAAAAACACTTGCAAAAGCAGCAACGACTGGAAATCCACCAGTGGAAAGTAAACGGAAAGACAACTAGAGTCATCAAGGTTCGAAAAAACTGACATCGCCATTGGAACCGGTGAGACCAAGACGACAATCACTGCTTTGCAAACGAGACTCCAGACGAGATCGGAATTGCTCTCGGTGAAAGTTGAAGAACATCACATCTCTCACAGTTTTCATCCAATATTCGTGAAAAGAGTGGAAAGTGAAGCCTGCATGGGTACACAAGGATCAGAAATGAAGAATAAAAACAAACATCAACTGGGACCATTGAATAGAAAAATCCGTCGTAACTAGAAATTCGGCAAAGACATCAATAGGTGTGTGAACCACTTAACTGGCGGTAACCGATGATACGTGTATTAGATGTTCAGTTGTTAAACCATCGTCTCGCGAAAAGCATGAAAGACAAAATACACTGTGATGTAAAGCCTATGTCTATGCTAAAATCGTTCAGCTACGGTTGAGGGAAGATGCTGAAGTCATTTGAGAAATATATAGATCCAGTGAAATACACTCAGTTGCAAAGCAGTTTGGTTTTGCGGGAGACTTATCTGGAAGCCAACTGAACCTCTCGTTTATGATGTTTCTAAGCAACTGAATGTGCTGCGCCAGGCGGCCACATATGTCAGCTGGACTGAGCCTACCTGATGAGCATCAAGAAAGGCAAAACCGGTCGTGGGCTGTCGAGGAATTTTCAGCAACCTTATGCGTAGTGCATTATGTCTATACGTATGGATCCATGTTCGTAGATTCGTAATTCACTGATTTGGGCACGGAAAATAACGCTCTTCTTGACAAGCGGTAACTCGGTATACGTGACACACGGCCCAGCCACTTTAGCTTGCAATGTTGGATGGATTCTTTGAGTTATGTACGGTCTGCTAAACGGAAAACTTGTTTCCTGGTCACCGCATTACGAATTTGCTGGTTGTAACCGATTCCAGCTATAGTCCTGAAGACCTAAAGATGTCCGATATCATACGCCCAAAATTAACTTCTCGCAGTCACACAATCACACAACCCGCATTGTAGTCTGATGCATGTGCCCTTTGAAACCCAGCCTTTTTGATGCCTCGAGTAGCGCAAATCGGCAAACGCACTTCCTATCTTCGAGATTCATGCGCTGATTTGGACCGTCACGTTGCCATTAAAACTGATAAAACTTTCAAAGTACATCTACTGTCCCACAACTACCAGTGACTCTCCCTGTACTTTTGGAAAGATGTTTAGGGACTCTACTCCCCGCAAAACGGCACTGCACCTTGTGGATGTGAAGTATATGCTGAAGGGTTGGATGATTTTCTGGTCACATTTTCTGGTGGCGCTTCGGTTCCTGAACGATGTCGTCTGCGCATGTCTGATAGGCAAGATTCTCACTTTGAGAGATCTGACCACCGGGGTTCCGGAGAACCCCCGGAGTTCGTCTCCCTGTCCCATCAATTACGGACTTAAACGAAAGTCAAATGTTGGCATTTGCAGCGGACACCACTGCCTGTAGGGTATTTTGAGGAGCTCCATATGCACTCCCATACACACTCTCACACGCGAATACAAAGTGTATGACGTTCACAAATGTCGGAGTCGAGTACATCCTTGAAGTCATGGAAGACCAACACTGTAGGACATCTATACGAATATCATTAATTTAACTACCAACGGAGTGCGAAGATGCAGTTCACACAATTCCGACCCGGCCGGAATCCTGTTAGCCCTCACAGATCCCAACTTCATGTATTCTCGTTAGAGATGTGAAGAGTCCAGTTACAGTGGCAATCAAGCTGATACATCTGTGTTTACCACATTCAGTGCGAGCACCTTTTTTTAACTGAGCGGTACGATCCACTCACTTCAATTGGTTAGGACAATCTCTTTCAAACAGATAGAAGCGAATAGGTTGGACAAGCAGTGGCCGATTATGTCAACTTCGTATGTAAGCGGAGAGGGTCAAGGATCATCAGGACCATTTGCTCGGTGGATCTTGAAAGAGCAAATAGCGTATTTCCGAAGAGGTCGGACGTTCCAAGTTCACTGGTGAGGACCCTGTTGTGAGAATCCCAATAATCAATCAGCAACGACTGACTGAGTTGTTGTTCATAGTGTCCAGCGCAACGATTCACAGTTTCTCACCTCGATCAGCTGTTCAACTTTCTGGATCTGCCAAAATTCGCGGGTGCTCTTTTTCACCTGACTCCTGATGTTGAGTTGTATCGTACTGTCAACCAGCAGGAATACACTTACGAGCGTCACGCAAAGTTAGAATTGTGCTAGAGATCCCGATCATAGATACAGTTAGTTGCGCTGACTATAAGAACAGGTCTTAGAACCTTCTGGTGCCTAGTTGCCATGCCACCAGAAAGAAGCACGAGGACTTGGATACCGCCAGGTTGCCCAAGCCTAGACAGGGGAAATCGATAGGCAGTGGTCGGGTTCGAACCACGGACCTTCCGGTCAGCAAATTCGCGCTCTAACCACTTGAGCCATCTCGTTGTGTGACATAGCAACGTGTATTTGGTACACGTTGTTGCACGTTACACGTCGGATCCCCTCACTCGATTCTGTTGCTATCGAAAAATTCGGTCGATGTATTCATCCTAAATTTGTTACATCACCTGATAAACTATCGATGACAAGTTATATGGATGGCTGAAAAATTAATGGTGCAGTTTGGTGCATTTGAAAGTATCGAGTTAAACGGTGGCCTAAAGGTGACATAGGTTTCAGGAAACGAGAGGACACACGATGACTAAGAAACCGAAGAAAACGTTCGGAATGTGCAACAAGGCCGATCAAAACCCGTCGTCTAAGTTCAGAGGCGGAAGTATGCACAGGCTCATCTGGGGTAGCTGATTAACAACACATGGATGAATCGGCCTGCACTGCTCACGAAGGGAGGTCAGTGGTCAAATCTGAGGAGATCGGAATACAATTCAGGTTTCCGCAACAAACACCATATGCCAGGTTAAGAAAAAAACATAGAGGAGACAAACTTTCAGTTGTAAAATCCTTTCCATGCCTAGCTACCAAGCTATTCAAAGGAAGCACGAGGGATGAGACACTGTCAAGCTACCCAAGCCTATATAAGTGCTACTCGAGTTATGGAAGTGAAGCAGGTGCATGTTCGCAAAGGTCATTTTTTCTCGGTCGACAGACCATGTTCAAGGGTGTTCATGCTTACATCTGGCACTCCAATATTTCAGCTTGTTGTCTGGAGATGAAAACGGCTTGAATGGGAAGGTAACCCTGAGCGGCACTAAGACAAGGCATACTGTGACAAGAATCGTACCTATTAGTTGCAACATACAAAGGATTCACTATGATATGCTCCAGAGACCATTATGTTGACTGACATGAGAAATTCGCAGCAGGCTCTCAGGAAACACGATAATTTAAGTACACGACTAAATAACATCATAGCCCATCTTACACCATTCTTCCAAAGGCGCATCACCGGTATCTCACTAGCGATAGGCATAATCTTAGCTACCTGTTTGGCCCTTCACAAGTATTTCCAATTCGTCCAACATATGGACAGTACCATGCGTCTGGGCGAAATGTATCAACTTTCACATGCTACATGACATTTGTGTCGAATAATACCGAGCACTCTCGTTCCACGTACAGATCAGAGCAGCTGTCGGTTTAAGGACTGATAGTACTTTGGTTACAGCACTGGTACTAACGAAAAGCATTAATATGAAATCACCAAAACGACTTGTGTTCAGCAACCAGTCGATGCTATGCGATTGAAAGCTTAGCTTTTCAAGTGAAAGGACATGACCCCAACCAGACTGTAGGCTTAAAAATAAGAACGATCAACTGGTTTTAAGTTTTAGTGCAGCCATTGTGGAGAACTTACAGAATAACTTGTAGAAGTCATCTAAACTGCACTGATCCGCCGTATTATAGAACTGGTTCTTCAACTGCCCTTTCTCCAGAAACACGTACAGCATTTCTGTTACGTTTATGGCTAAAATTGCAAAAGGATACCTTAATTATCAAGGGAAGAAGGGTAGCGGTTATGAAACGTACCAGTGTTGTGGATGATTAGAAGCACTCAACAGACTGCGGGCCAATTTTGTATGATGGCTGCTAAAGTACCTATGAAAGGGAGCGGAAACGAGCATGAATAATTGAAGATTCCGACTCTGCTGGAAACAAAGATCAAATGTTTCTGGAAGCTTACACCATGTTTTTCAAAGAAAGGATACCCATCCCACGAAAGTCAGTGTATGGATTATCTGTTTGAAAACCTATCAAACTCCATCGCCTTGATGCCGGATCAGCGTTCTGTTCTACAGGAGCCAAGTCATTCCAAAGCTGGACAAGAGAACTATGGGTTGCGGTGACAAGAGACGTCAAACCTGTGTGAGGAGAAGCTGGTGTGCGCTGTTGTCTGGGTCGAAGGCTGTAGATTTCAGTACATTTGTTTCGGTCACAAGCCGCTCGTAGGCATGTATTTGCTTCAAAGAATAGATGAACTCTGATGAGAACCTAGGGCGGATTTCGTCAAACGTGCCTCTGAGAACGCATACATTGAGAGGGAAGAGATGTCCACATTTTTAATCCGCGCAAGTTCACTGGCGCGGGAGTTATAATCGAAGTGAATTGTCCATGGTAATGCGCCCCTAAGCAGGTCGCACTTGGATCGCCGCATTGATTGCTCTAGAAAAAAGTCGTAGTGGTGATGGAAACAAACCGATCGCAAAGGTGCGCATGGCACCTCTGGGGTAGGCCAGGATGAGCCGATGCAATTCGCACTTTCCAGTTGCTCGTCTCAAGGCAAACTTGATCGCCGGTCGCAAGTACCATTCATAGAATCCCCAGATTAGGGTGATGAAGAAGCGTATCATGTTTGGGGGGCAATCTGCAAGGCAAAAAACAAGATAGAGTCAATCAAACATACTCTTCTGGTGGATATTGTATTCAGTGGCTCACTTTGAATGGTCTCTTGTGCAATCATAAAACGTAACCAGTTGGATCTCAGCCACTAAGTGTAATCAAAAACTAACCCGACCTCCAAAAATTAGAAAGGAGGCTGGAAATTTCAACGAAATTTTGAATTACGGCCGTTCTGTGAGGGGACAAGATCCTCACGACAAGGCAGAAATACACAAAAGTTTCGGGACGACTAATCGGGCGCGTCGAAACAATCAAGCTGCGAAGTTCAGTTTCAGCTTCATGAGACAACCACCATTGGCACACAGGAGAGATCCGAAGTGGCAAACCCAAAACAACTAATGTGTATCATGGAGGACATTATATCCAGCATTTCTAGAACCACGTGACATAAGAGACCAGTCTATAGCGTAAATAGGCCGGAAAGAAAAACTTCTAGATATATCAGTTTCGAGTTAGAACAATAATAATCTAAAAGGCTCGAGCTCCCACTGAGAAATTTATCAGCTGGCGCTCTAGGAAGAAAACAAATCCATCTGCAAGACTAGCCAATTGTGGACGACATATGAAACACTGGAATGGGCCTGGTATTATCCGAGGATGGAATCATCCTTCCCGGAGAGAATGTTGCACCCAGAAGATTAGATGTAAGATGCATCATCAGTCAATAAATGATGCAGGTAGCGCTATCAAGCACTTAGTCTGCGCCTAGAATAGTAAACATTGTTCCGGTATGCATAAGTGAGTATGTATTCATCGGGTTGCATTGAAGGTCTGGAAATGAATGATTCATGTGGATGACCTGACAGAAAGGAAGATGGAGAACTGGAGGGACACCATTTCCACAAATCACACTAAAGATAGGTAGGTAAAATGCAAGATAATACGCCATTATCCGGGCTATACTTAGGTTGCATTCGCTGACATGGAGAATGGAACAGAAACGGTCCAGGTCATCAAATCTGATGCTAAGACTCGCTATGATAAGGCAAACATACAGATTAAAAAGTGGTCGAAATCTGTCCAAAGACCTACAGTCAGTCACACTTGCACATTGCGACTGTTCTTGCTCTATACGGCAAAATCAAAAAGCTTCGACCTGAAGGCAACGACTTACAACGAAACCAGTGACAGGATGGTTTATTCGTTCCATGGCGGTTGGAAAACTGGAACGGGATGACAACGCAGCGCAGCCAACCGATGCAAGTAATGCTGGACTAAGGCATGTCTGCTAGTATCCCTAATTGCTAACTTGTCCTATTCTCAGGCGTGTAGTAAGATCATTAGAGTTCCCGTGATACTGCCATATTATCATGTAAGTCTGCAGTAGTTTCACAGAGAACTAGTCCCATAAGAAGCTGTTTTCAGACCTTTAGATCATAAATCAAAGTAAAAAGTAGTGCACCAAAAACAGGCGATGTGAAAGGTTACACGAATTATTGGTCAGATATGAATAATTGCGTTGGCGACAAAGAATAAACCCTCGTATGAAGGTAAGGCTTCTACCTCATTGATATTGAGCTTTTACACGGTCAGACCTCAGCCAGTGGGCGATGGGAAGCTGGTCGGTTCACCTCTGTGACCAAGGAGCTCATGCATCACACAGAAACACCCTAAGAATCAGGCTTCGCTGTGATCCCGGATTACGTAATGAAATAACGGTTCCCGGACGAAAAAACATCAACACACATCAAAATCCTGAAGATCACTCACGACTATCCTTTCGCAGGTCTTAGCAGCTGAAGCGGAAAGCCAACGAATTGACCCAAATCCAGAGACTCATCACATGACAGAAGTATGGCTTTTTATACTTTATTATCAAACTCATGGTCCATATTGCTGACCAGCGCTGGAAATATGGTTCTCGAAGGTGCAACGAAACTAGTACCACTTATGGAGGTGATAAGGACTGATCGACAACTTGCTAAGATGGCTTATCAGACAAGCATAGTCAGTCACTTGTCATGAAGAGCGGACTAAGACCAAGACTGGAATTTTAATTTGGAAAATTGACCATCTTGGTTCCCCTGGTTAATAATGAAGCGGAATAAATGGAGAATGGAGCAAATAGAACAATCCCTCCAAAGATCTCCTTTCCGGAGGGTTCTCAACGACTACCCTTGTAAGCCCACAGGAGGCAAAATGACTTTTCTCTGTGAAGGATAAGGGTTCGACAACTTTGGAAAGCCAAAGATTGACAAGCCCTGGCAGAATTACCGGAATGAGGCAAGGAATCAGTACTATATGGTAGCCCCGAGATCCGTGAATGACAGTTACAGAGGTATCGTGGGTCTATTCGATGGACAATTGAGGAGCCGAAAAAATAAAGAACGTATTCCACCCGGGGAAAAATAATCTGCTTGATGTTGACTGTTGTGCCAGTTGTTTGAGCCAGCAAATCGGCCATCCGCTTCCACAGCTGTAACGAGTGTTAACTGTAAACCACTAATTTCATGTGATAGCAATGAGCGCATTGATACCCTCATTTGAAGTCAAGTTTCCGGAGAGCTCAATACGGCACTAACCATCGGCCAAAATCTATGCGCGATCATTCAGGAAGTAAGGGCAACTATTCCCTTTCACAGCGTGGCCTTCTTGGAAAAACTCCAATACAATGAGATGAGATTCGTTTCTGAGGCACCACAAGCCTAGTTGGCCGTCGTTGACTACCTTCCATTGTGATGAGAAACAGTACAACCGTATGGGTTATCTGGTTAGACATATCACAGTCAAGTCTATCCAAGAAACTAACATTGGGTACAGGGGGTGTGGCTGCACACAAACAACGTTTATTACCTTAAGACAAAGCGTGTCGTTTGAAAGTACACGTGTTACGGCTATTGAAGTCTCTTTGGGCAGTGAAGAACTGCGGCCACCGAATTCACTCCTATGAGCGGAGATACATAAGGATGGTGTCTTTCATGATGACCCAAACATGGCTACTTGGATAGCAACCGAAAACAGCATTTAGGCGAGCAGATCAATCGTGGTAAATGATCACAAACACACCTCACTACCTCCTTTCTGTCTAACTTTACTTTATCTCCTTTTGAAAATGTCGCTCTGACGTATAGGCAACCCAAGCTACGATGTTGAAAAAATGCTAGTCTCCAAGTAATATACAGTCTTCGCGTAAACTTTGGTTGTTCACAGAAGAAGACTGAAGGGTGACCCTGAAGTATTTAGTACGTGGCTTGATAGCAGAAGAGTGGAGGGGGTTATAAACTGTTACAGGTACACTAGCTGCTGTAGTTCGATAATCAATGACATTCTGACCAACGTACTTTCCCTTCTGGTCCCTTTTGAAGAAGTTTCACAAGATTACGTTACCACACAGTCCAACGATTTACAAACCATCTTAGTGTATTTTCAAATATATTCCGTACATCGTACGCGTGGCGTTAATTCAAAATAGCACAAAAAGCGTTGTCCCTATGATGATTACGTGAATAGTAATCATGATGCATCACTGTATCTGTATCATCAAGGGCACTATAATTAGAAGACAGTTGAAAAAATACTTCAGATCACCGAACGGAGATGTTAGAATGTGGTTTGGACAAAAGACGTTACCACAGCATTGAACATGGTGGACAACGGATTATGCAGTTCAACAGTACCACCAAAACAGGAGGCATTGGTGCTGGGTGGAGAGAGACACACGGACTAAATGGAACAGACCAGCTGTGGCTGTGTAACCATAAAAATAGGGCTGAAAACGAAAAAACAAACCGCTGAACATTAACCCAGAATTTAACTAGGTATTTTTCAGAACATGAATATATCTGTTAGAAAATGGATATATTTATTTGCCTCTGGAGGTCAAAAAATAGTGTACAAAAAGACAGCTGAGAATAGGTTAGAAAAAAAATGGAACAGACGAGGTCAATCGGGTACATAACTGGATTCGGGTTGGCACCGCATCGATCGTAAGCTCTGGTGTACCCAGTTGACGGAGACCACGTGACATCCCTAGAAAGCGGAAGAAAAACCGTGCGAGTGTATCTGGAACGACCGGTGGCAGAATGAAGATAAACGGATTTTTTTCAAGGCACGGTTCCATATGGGACGAATCGTATCAAAGGATGAGAGCAACACCGTCAGTTTGTAGGTTTCCAACCCACTTAATTAATTTGAAGACCCTCTAAGAAATCAAACCATGTGTCCTGCCCGGTGCACAAATCGGCCAAACGCCTGAAGTTGTAAGATGTGTGCCGAAAACATTGATTGACAGTGTTGAGACAACAAGGCAAAGAGAAAAAGTTATTTCCCCATGTAATTCATATTCGGAAACCACGTATCATTTTGAGTGTTCGGAAACAAAGAGATCGAGACACCAGAGCGGGTACACTCACTTATGAACGCTTGTCCCACTGTCACAACTCTGGTATCCCATCTACGCCTAGCTTTTAATATAAATTAGAGACAGAAGAAAACTACATAAGTCAAACCCTCTTACTATGTTAACTGATAAGGGGACAACGACTTGAAACTAGCTAAAAAAACTAGCTAAAACGGTCAGTAGGGAGTGGGATATAGATGTACGATAAGGCTTCAATAAAACACACCTGGGATACATTCAACTCTGAAGACCTTCCACAGATCGGAGTGACTGCTACCACATGTGTCACGCGGGAATCCATTAGAGGTAGAACTTCGCCGTCATTAGTGCACAGGAGGACATGACTTGTTAAGGATTGCTTGTTCTCACATGGAAAACAATGAACACGTTATCAGGCAATAGTGGATCATCGGAAAAAAGTGATACATTCCACAAGGTTAGTCTAAAAAGATCAATTCTCACATACAGGTTACAACAATAGGTGCATCAGAAACGGAATGGCGTGCAGATGAAGAACACTTCGTAATAAGACTTGGTGGTCTAGAATATTGTCCATTTGTAAGGTTCACGTATGTAACAATGCTTCTTTACAGTCACGCTATTCCTTAGATAAAACACTCGCTAAGTGACACCAAACCAAAAAAACGAAGTATGCGGGTATTATCTATATGACACTAGTTTCTACCTATAAGGTCTAAGTTCAGCTGAACCCCAGTGGAAATTCATGCGCGGCGAAAGCCTGCTTGGACAAGGAGCATTGAAGGTTGGATGCGATGACATCTAGTCCCGAAACCAAGCTGTTCCCTTTCCTGTAAGCTGACCAAGCCCGGACTCTTGGGCCACTGAGAAACATCTACTCCTAATAACGGTAACATCCGTATTACAGTTAGAGCTGAACGAACTTATTATCTTCGACGTTGAACTCATTTTTACGTGAAATAAGACGTGGCAGCTGGAAAACTGACAAACAGAAGAAAACAGTAGTTCTGAGCTTATGAAAAACAATATTGCGGATAAAGCTGAGACACATGGTAATTTGAAGAAATGTGATTATGACTGGCAGGACAGACGGATTAAGTCTGTATACGTGGGAGCGAAAAACAACACTAGAGGACAGACTGACCGTTAAAGCAGAACCGGATAATAAATGTACAAAAAAGGATATGCAACGATGAGTCGCCTCAATTTCGCTGCTTCACGTTGAGCGAGAGCGGTGGATTCCTCAGCGGAGTGGTCGTCCAACCACAGATAGAAAACTTTGCCAGTGAATAAATTCTTCAGATGTCGGGATAGGTGCGCTGATGTAAAATAACGAATAAGAGAAGTGATAGCCAAGTACTCTGCTCGAACCAGTGACTGATTTGTACGGTTGTAGCGTTTAACCGTTCATCTGAGTCCAGCGATGCAAAAGCCGGCGAAACGTTATAAAGCTGAATGACTGGGTTGCTTTAGTTAGTACAGTGATTCGCTTTTAGAAACGACACCTTAGAACGCTCGAGCAATAACTGTGCAGTGCTATCAGGTTCCAGATATTGAACCTTGAGTCACGCGTAGGTTAGGCGATCCCAGATAGCAAAAGAAACAGTTGGGTCTGAATATTTAACGTACTATTTAACAACAAACTCGTGTAACAAACCTCCAATTTTCACACTCGTCGGGACAACGACACGTGTCCGCGTCCAGTAAATGACACAGAGCAGTGTTGAAATCCGCACACTAGATAACGGTCAAGAGAGTGGGATATCAGTGGTGCGGGTTACCAGTTTTTCTATTCCAGATCAGTCTCATGATTCCGACTGGTGGCGCACCAACGCCGGTGTCGTAGGATAAATGAGAACAAGTCGAGAGGACAGTGGCTGGACGCAGATGGATGAACAAGTATACTAAGGTGGTGGATTGGCAGTAACTTCCAGAGTTGACTTTCACACTGAATTACGCGACTAATTCTGCACGCAATAGACGATGCCACGTTCGGCTTGCACTGAGCCGCAAGCGCAACCGACTGCAATTCTCTGATAGGGTACAAGGGAGGGGATGATATAGGAGACTAAGTAGGCAGTGTAGTCCCGCTGGTCGTGCCAGCTGGGGGCAACCACACAACTGAGACCCACGGCCTATGGCAAGAGTGGGTCAGAAAATGCGTACGGCCAACCCAGAGCTAACTTCTGCCAGTCAATAATCGGCTTAGTTTGCAAACTGATGGTCACAGAAAGTCACCACTAAAATCGCTCTCAGCTCAGCGTCGCGGGATGTCCAGGCTTTTTTGCAGACATAAATACGAACAGCTTAGAAATCGAACCATACCGTGTTCAACTCAAGTAGGCTACAGGACTGTACTACTACTGAGCCGAATGTAGAGGACACGTTCACGGTATTCTGTAGTTAGCTGTGGTTCGACTACATTCGGTCTACATGATGACGATCATTGAAACTCAGTTCTGGCGCCATCGCAGACTCAGCACAATGAGGTGATTAGTGTCTACGGCATTTTGTCATGTTTGGACCTACACGGCCACTCGAAGTCACGTATAGCACCGCCGCAAGTTTAACTATCCGATAACCTATGAAAGCTAAGAGAGGTCAGAAAAACAGTTTGTCCAATGGTGCTTCGTTGACGAATCAGTATCTGCTGACCGTCAAGCAGTCCATTCTGTCAAACGTTGACACGGCAGAAGTCATGGCAGATCCAGCTATTTTGTTTCCTGAGAATACCTTTGCACCTTGCACATTCCAGCTCTCTGGCCTGAAACCGTTGGTCGTTAAAATGGCTAACTCCAGTTTGCACCCTTTTCCAATGCCATCCTGTTTTGTGCTTCTGTGAGATCTGCATTGGTAAAAAAGATCGTTCAGTCGCAACACATTTTTGGTGCCCAGCTGCCATGCCACCCGAAGGAAGAACGAGGGCTAGGATACTGTCAGGTTGCCCAAGTATAGACAAGGGAAGTTGAGATGCAGAGGTCGGGTTCGAACCATGAAACCTTGAGTCAGTAAATTCACGCTCAAATCACTGAGCCATATTGCCCTTCCGCATGGTAGCTTTCAAACTTTTGACTAACGTATCCTGACATCGATACTTTCGTCTGACAGGGCTCCTTTCCTTAATATTCATTTTCGAACCATGAACCTTGAGTCAGTAAATTCACGCTCAAATCACTGAGCCATATTGCCCTTCCGCATGGTAGCTTTCAAACTTTTGACTAACGTATCCTGACATCGATACTTTCGTCTGACAGGGCTCCTTTCCTTAATATTCATTTGGTCTTATGTAAGCTGTTTCGGCGCTCTGTTCGCTTCCACTCACTAGACAGGTCCTAATCACCGCAAACCTCCATTCGATAACGTGTACGTCGGAGAACCTCTGGTTGAGACCCGTTTCGCCCCACCTACGCCGCCCCCTGCAGTTCCTGTGAAAGTACTGTATGTTCTACCAGAAGGCACACTATTCTTGGCAGCCGGGATGTCAACAGTGTGCCACCGAGATAGCAGAACCGCGTACAGAAGAGCACATATTCAGCTTCAGTTTTGATACTGGGAGTGTAGGAGACTAAACTTGGCGCACGTCAGTGCACAACGAAATTCTTATTTGAGGTGACATAAATGCCAAACAAAGCAGCAACATTCGCAAACTTTTCAGCTGGGTGTTGCGACTCATCGAGCGCATGGTGCGCAGTCGGTCGCAAGCATGAGAACATGAACCTAGAACCTGTGGACGAAAATCCCTGCACTGAAACCCCTAATATTAGAAAGATGCATATGATACTGATATTTGAACAGCATACCAGCATCGTCGTCCACAACGACCGCTTCCAAGACCATTAAATACGGACTGAAGAGAGCAAGAACAACGCAGGCCTCGGATTAGATTCACGAATTTCACAGATTTACAGCGAACTATCATATATATCTCTTGGCTAAAGGCTCTTGTGAAGTCTGTGCGAAAGGCGTACAACTGTAGTGAATATCAGGCCTATAGAGATTGGACTAGAGGGCAAATCACGTAGTGAATCGAAGACGTATGCTTCGATTGCTTCAACAACTTACTGGTTCAGTACCACTCGTGCCAAAACGTTGGCAGCACGGGCTGACGCCCCCCATAGTTGTCAGGTGAAGTTTTACATCACCCTTCCGTTAGATGGTGGCATGATTAGGCTAATTTTGCCAGTCCATAGTGACAGCCCGGAGTGTGTTGTCGGAAATCAGGTTGCCTTACTTGAAGCCTTCTGTTAAACGTTTTCAATAGCTACCCTCCATAACACAGTTGCATTTTCGCTCGTCGTATGCTTTCGATATTCGGAAATTAGATCCACGGGCGATTTCATTCTATTTTAAGGCAGTATATCCACATCAGTTTGCTCGACGCTCGCTAATCGGTTCAAAAGTTTGTTGAACTGCTTCCATCAAATATACATTACTTATGCAGGTGGCATCCGTTTCAGTTGGACCTAACTGTGGAAGTGGTTTGGTACAGTTTGGTCGCTGTCGCAGAAAGAAACATAGGTGAAGATAAGTAACCACAGACAACTCATCTTTTGAATGGCAGAAAATTAGACTGTTGATCCACGGGCAGGCAGTCATTGCGTATTCAAGAGCTTATGCATGTTAAAGTGAGAAGACATTCAGTGGGATACTGCTGAGGTGAGCTCTTGGAAGAGAAGACCGAAAATTCTAAGAAACAATAAACGTGTTAACCAAAACCGGGCGGAACTGATTACAGGCTTGGCTTGGTTCGTCATTCATATGCGATAGTCTGAATCTCTGAAAAGCTGCCACCTTCCAATTTATTCATAATTGCCGTGGAAAAAGGAATGTTTGTGATGTAAAACCTGCTTCAAAGCATGAAATCATCTATGTGATTGAGAAGCCATTGTCTTAAAAGATGTGCTACCACTTATGAAGGTGTTTCATTGGGTGCCGGGCCAGTACAAAACAGAATGACTTAAGTTGTCAAACTGCAAAAAAACGCAGAAAAACATCTAACATTTATTCCCCCTCGACTCTACATGGTGTTTTTGCCCGTTTTGAACCCACTTAGACTAGTCTATGGACTGCTAGAGCTTCATGGAAATAATCAATCAATGATCCAAGTAGTGTGGACACCTTTAGAAGACGCACCTTGCTTGCGAGCAGGTTCAGTGGATTTGCGTTCATCCGACAGCAGATCGTCCGCTGAGCGTTTCGCGGAAGTTTCAGCTACAAAATGAAGTGAACGCGAGGAGAAGATGAGCTTCCAAAGTAACATTCGTCGATAAAGAGTAGGGAAGACTGAATCGATTTGACAAGCTAACCAAACGGAGAAGCCACTATTATTTGATGTGCCTCGTGCTACTGATGGCTTATGAGTAGTGTGAATGGTTTGTTTTACATAACTGCATACGTGGGATCTGGGATGAACCGACCTATAAAAAAACATGTGCTTACATGAATCAGGAGTGGCTGTAGCGGTTGCATCTGCCTGACGACGATAGTAATATCTGGATAACCCAAGGAAGTCAAGGATCTCAAAGCAAGTCAGATTTTCTAGGACAGTAACACAGTCATTGGTGGAACAACCGTACAAGACATGAAGGATACACGTAGACATCGGTGTGGGATCGTTCCACTAAATGCTTCCGCAGAAGGCGTTCCACAGTGTACCACTGGAACGCATGTGTTCCTTGGCCGATTCGTGGAAGGTGAACGGAGCCTATAGAATATTAAAAAAACAGAGATTCAGGCGAGAATGATTCACGGCCACAAGCGCTTGAATTGAACATGGGAGACACGGAAAACAGAGATCAGGCGAGAATGATTCACGGCCACAAGCGCTTGAATTGAACATGGGAGACACGGATACTGAATACACTGTGGTACGAAGTAAGACTATCTTACTGGACAAATTATTTCGGCAGAAAGCGCTACGGAAACTAGTTTGCCTCCGATACAGAAGAACGAAGACTAAAAACAGTGATACACGTGGCTATTTGATAAAACAAAAGCTGGGTGACTGAATTCACCACCATGCGAACACACGAAACGAAGTTTAATGAATGTCTGTACCTAGTGCTTCAGCATCGTGAGTGTCGATAGTTAGACCGGCGCAGACGCTGCAACACCATATTAGTTTACTAAAGTAAAGAAATTAACAACAAGGCGAAGGAGCAAATGAGCCCAGTGCTGGTCGAGAACAACTATTCGAAGTGCTCATACTCACCCAATCTGAATGGAATGTGACACCGATAGCACAACTGACTTTGATTCGGTTTTACGTCGGTTGAAACAAAGAGAACTGAAACTTGTATTCTCCTTCATTTTCTACGATAAACTCACGCTTTGTGCAGATTTTGGGTTTTGACCCCTTTTATTAAGCACAGACAAACGACAATGTTCTTGGTGGGCATACACTGTTAGTTAAAGGAATTCACACACGCTGCTCGCAATTAGTAGACACAGGCAAGTGATTTGTGCGCTTCAACCAATATTTGGTTGAATTTAACCTAGTAACTCAGTGAAGTCTTTCCGTGGCTTTCTGACGGACGGTTCGTACTTTTAAACCACAGCGCTTAAAGCATGACGAATACATCCAGTATAGGCTTCGACCAATTTCTGCAACCTGGCATACTGTGCGACTTCACGTCGTGCCACCAAGTTGAACTATTCCATTCGAAGTCAGATGGGAGCAGAACGCCTGATGGCGATAAGCAGAATGTATCCATGCGTGCTGTAAAAACCAAATTAACCGATCCTCCATACAGTGAGACAAACTGAGCTCGAATATCCAAAGAATAGCTCCATCGCTTGATTGCCCCAATCGCATATCCAGCATCTCCAACGCTGCATTACAGGATGTCTTTCTAAGCACTCGTTAGGTGAAATTCTGGTAGCCATATATATA